CAGCTGACAAAGAACCGGCCAGCTCCCGCAACGTCAGCGTCACGCAAAGGCCAATTCACAGACCTTCTCGTTCGGGCCGTTCCTCACGTGCCCGCGGCCTCGGTCCGAGGGTCGAGGGTTTAGGATTTAGAGCATATAGAGCTTGTAGGGTTTAGGGTTTAGGGTTGTTTCGGGTTTAGGGTTTAGGCTTAGGATTCAGGGGCCCAAGAAGCTGGGTTTCGGCTCAGGATCGAAGTTGCGAGTTTGGAACTACAGGCCACTGCGCCCACGGAGTTGCAGATGATGATGAGGTGGCGATCGACCGCCAGGCGCGGAGTCTTCACTCCCTAAACCCGCAACCCTAAACCCTCAAACCCTGAACCCTAAACCCTGCGAGAGCACCGCTGTCCAGAAACACGGTGCTCGAGCCTCTGGGCCTGGGAGGGTCACGTTTCCCAGGACAAAACCAGAAAGCCCCCCCTGCCTAGGGGGGTTTCGGGGGGTAGAGCCCTAAACCCTAACAAAGAATAGTTCGGGTGGGGGGTGGGGCTACTCAGCTATGCGAGCGAGCGAGGGGGAGTGCGCCCTAAGTTACAATTTTAGACATTTAGCAAAAGAACATTATTCAAGCAAAATATATCATTTGCTAAATGTTATGTGTGTTTTTGAGATTGAACGTAATTCAGTACGAAAAATTTTGAAGATAATTTTTATGATTTAACAATGATGTTATGTGAAACTTTGACTCTTTCACGAGTGCATTGTTTCAATATAAACCTGAATAATTTACAAGCACTATTATTGAGGGCCAGTCCTATTTGGGCGGTTGGTTTTGGAAAGCCCTGCGGGCTTGCCGCTTGCAGGAAATACGTCGAGGAGGCCCTCCTGGCAAGCTGTCAGGCAAGATCCCAGACTTGAGCGTGTGTGGTTTTAGGGTTTAGGGTTTAGGGTTTAGGGTTCAGGGCAGGGTTTCGGTTTAAGTACCCCCCCGCTACGCCCTGAGGCTAGGGTGTACTGCATGCCCCTAGGCCCAGGACAGTGGCAGTTTCAAGCGGGTAGTTGTTGTTCCCCGTGCACGCCTTGCATGGTCCTGCGTTAATGTATGAGCCTGGGTGTGCTTATCGCTTCTTATTGCAGCCCAGGAGCTCCCTTTCAGAGAATCTGCCTTTCCCTGCTGTTTGATGATGATTGGTGGATGCACTGCTGAAGAAATCTGCAGGGGCCGTGCATCTTGGGGTTTAGGTTTTAGGCTTGGAGGTTAGTGTTGTATACTTCTTTCCATTGCTACTTTACTTGCTCTGATAGGGGGGGGCGACGGCCTAGAAACACCCAGGAAATTGTAGTTTCCTTCCGCATCATGCTCACATAACCCTAGTTCTCAAACAGTAAACCCCACAGGCAAGGAAAGAAAAGGAGCTCCCAAAGGTACCCGCCCCATGCAGGCCCCAAAATCCTATGCCCTGACGCCCTGCAACCGCATCACATCTCCCAAAACCCAGTACTCTGAGTCCCTTGGAGGCCAAAGCTCGAAACCCTAAACTCCTTCTATACCGAAGCCCCGAAACCGCCTGGAACCCAAGCCCCTGAACCGCAACAAAACTCTGCTCCCTAAAGCTCCCTAAACCCTAAACCCTAAGCCCTAAGCCCTAAACCCTAAACCCTAAACCCTAAACCCCAAACCCTAAACCCCAAACCCTAAACCCTGAAGAGGCGCAAGCGGAAGCCTCAGCCTCGGACTCAAGAGCGAGAGTGGTCTGGGCAGGCCCAGGGTTGGGGGGGGGTTCGTAGGGTTTACGGTTTAGGGGTTTTGTAGGGGTTTTGTAGGGGTTTGGTAGGGGTTTCGTAGGGGTTTGGTAGGGGTTCGTAGGGTTTTGTGTGGGTTTTGTGGGGTTTTGTAGGGTGTTGTGGGGGTTTGGTAGGGGTTAGGGTGGTTGTCAAAACGTAAAGCTTCAAGGCTTTCAGGTCTTAAGGGGAGGGGGGGCGGCGCTTCGTCTCAGGCATGCGCTTCTGTGCATGCGCTTCTGTAACCACGATCAATTGCATGATTCTTGAAGAGACCTGAAGGCTCGAGATAAACCTGAAGAACTGCTTAGGCCCCATGGAACTCCTTGCAAACGCGGAGAGCAGGCTGGATCCCAGCTTTGTGGTGTTCACGGCCACCTTTCAGCTCCTCTTCATGTTTCGGATGGCCTACTGTGGCTTCAGGCACCGAGAATACCTTCGCAACGTGGTGCATCGCACCATTGCGGCATTGGGAATATCCCTCCGGCCGTCGACGAAGGATGAGCGGCTTTTCTTGGAGCAGGTGGGCTTGCTTCGACTGCAGATCGCACGGATTTATTTCAGATACGTCTGGGTGATGCTTTTATTGCCCCTGCTTGTTGTAGAGTTGCGCGTGCTTCAAGACAGCCCGCGGTATCTGTCAGCTGGTGTTAGTTGGAGTATGTCCGTGACGTTTGTCGTTGGTGGATTGGTTGACATGTTTCCATCTGTCCTTTCTGTGCGGAATCTCAATGCGGCATATTTCGCGCTGGCGCTTGGCTGGGCAACGTACTTGTCGCCATGGCATTCGACGCCTAACAGATCTGCAGAGCCTCGGCCCAGAAATGTTATCTTGTAGTGTTTACACTGAGGGTGTAGGCTGTGTATATTTTTCGCATGCACGTGAACTGGAGATTTATGTCCTTGTTCTTGACAGCAGCAGGAGATCTCGCTTTTCTTACTCTGCGTTGGTCGTGTGCCTGCCGTTGGCATTGCCAGCTCACCTGTGGTAGTCGCATCTGGCAATCTGCTGCCTTTACTGGTGGTTCTGCTACGAGCAACTGCAGAGCCGATGCCGCCGTCAAGCATGTTTGCGGAAATCAGCGCGCTCGTCGCGAACGTGTGTGTATCGGTGTCTGTGCAGTTTCTTCTGAACTACCGCATTGAGCACAGTATGCAGTACAAGAAGATGGCAAGCGATTTCAATGCCGCGTCCTCACTGTTGCATCTGACTTGCGATTCGGTGGTCGAGCTAGATGCAGATCTCCGAATGGCGGAGCACACACCGTCGCTTTCGGCGATGCTGCTCCACAACAGACCGGGTGCAACCTTAGCCGGCATGGAATTCGCCGACCTCCTGGCCGGGGCAGCAGAGGCCGCACGTGTTGTGGAGATCCTAAGGCGCTTCGAAGATTGCCCGCCAGACAGTGTCAACGCTCAAGCCTTCCATACACATTTGGTTGACAGTGACTCCAACCGGTTCCGGACAGAAGTTTTTCAGGTGATGTATCATACACCACAAGGCAACGCCCGTCACCTCATTGGTCTCCGGGACGTTACAGACCAAGAGTCCTTGTCAGGCAGCAGGGCCATCGAGAGCTTGTCCGTGGTGCCCCGATCTGTGACCCCTGGGTCTGCCGGGGCCTGCAGCTCCATTGAAGCCTCAGAACACCTGCAGACACGCGCCATCGCCCACGACAAGTTTCTGTCGCTCCTGATCGACATGGACCTCCAGCTCATCCACCTGTCGTCCCAGCCCATCTGCCTTGGCTGCCGTCCGAGCGACCTCTTCTGTGCCGCGGGTGTGGAGCTCCTGGAACGCCTCTGGGCAGTACAGACCGCACCGAATGCAGCGACGGCGCAGAACCGTGGCTCCGGACTGCCGAATTATTCCTTCTCGGCGCTGGAGCTGCGGCTGGGGCACGAGCCTTTCGACGTGAGTGGCACCCTCCAGGTGGTGGAAACGCAAACCGGCGACCGCTACTTGCTGCTGGTCTGCGTGATGCCCCTGGCCCTGACAATTGCTCCCAAAGGGAGTTTCGGTTCACCCGGCTCGGACGAGTACACGAGCGTGCAGTTCTAAGAGAGGCTGCTTGGGGTTCGTGGCCGCTTTTGGCTAATTGACCGCCCCCCAAGGAGAATTTTTCACGTGACTTCGAAAAGTGCCCTCCTCTTGTGCGCTGTGCGTCTCTGGCGGCTTATCAAGGCATGGGCGTGTGAACTGAAGTCCCCAGACCTCACGTAAGCCCCAGACAGACCCGAAAGCTGAACCCTTGAAGTCCTAAACGTCCTAAAGCCCGGAAGCCTTCAATGAAGTTACCGCAAAAAGTAATAAGACGTATGTACATGTATACACCGAAAGTTTAATGTTGTAGCTGCGGGTCCTTAACACGAACCCAGCAAAGCCTTAATGCCCCACCACGAAAGTTCCCAACACCCTGAAACGCTCGAACCCTAAAAAGCCCCCTAAACCCTAAAGCCCAAACCCGAAACCCTAAACCCTACACCCTAGACTGTAATCGCCGAGAGACCCCAAACATCCCCACCCGAATTCCTCAAGCCCCCAGTCCAGCCTTGTGGGTTTGTTTAGGTGACCGTAAGAATTTTCAGCCCCAACCCGAAATCCCTCCAGCCTTGTAGGTTTTTTGGGTGGCCATGAGGGGTTTTTGAAAGGCCGGGGGGGGCTTTACTTTGGGCCACGAATGGACCGCAACTGTCCGGGTTTAGGGATTAGGGTTTCGGGTTCGGAGGCTTTCTTTGAGTTTAGTGCTTGTAGGGTTTCTCGACTTTATTGCGGCTCAAACTTAGGGCTTCTTGGAGCTAAGGCTTTAGGCTTGAGGGCTTCTCCGAGTTTAGCGTTTTCTTGCTGCGGCTTGGGGGCTGGGTCTTTCGGTTGTTCCTCTACGGCTCGCGCCTCGTCAGCGCGTGGCTACATCTACATTCCACCCACGAGTACTTGATGAACCTGGACCTAGACGAAGTTCGTAGGAATGTTGCAAAGTGTACTTCTATAGGGAAGTGTAATCGAGAACTGTTTGAGCTTGGACGGTGACGAGCCGGTTGAAAGATGCAGCATGTGTTCTGGAGGAAGAGCATTGTCCGAGCTCGCTGAATATCGGAAAGAGGTGCATTAGAACTTGTTTGCAAGAGTCCCTTAGACAAGCTTTTTGAGAGAATGCAAAATAGAAGAGCCTTTGTTGACATGACGAGCCCTACTCCACCCTTCCTCACCTTCTGAGAAGTTTGGCTTGTTTAAGTATATGTCGCTTTTTGGGATGTATGGGTGGTATGTTGTGCCGAGGCCTCAGTCGAATAAGGCTCAAGCATATTTTCAAGAAGTTCCACAGGGCCATAACGGCTGCTCCATGGATCCTTCCACCGATAGGCTGGACACCAGGCTGGACACCAACTTTGTGGTGTTCACGGCCACCTTTCAGCTCCTCTTCATACTTCGGATGGCCTGCTGTGGCTTCAAACACCGCGGCTACCTTCGCAACGTGGTGCGTCGCGCCCTTGCGGCATTGGGAAGGTGTCTGCGAGTGTCCGTGACGGAGGAGGAGCGGCTCATTGTCGAGCAGGTGAGCTTCCTTCGCCTGCAGATCGCACGGATCTATTTCAGATATGTCTGGGTGATGCTCTTGTTGCCTCTGCTGGTTATCGAGTTGCGCGTGCTACGGGGAGTTCCGGGAAAGATGCCAGCCGCTCTTTTTTGGAGTAATTCAGTGACGTTTGTCGTAGGCGGATTGGTTGACATGATTCCATCTGTGCTTTCCGTGCGGAATCTCAATGCCGCATATTTTGTGCTGGCGCTTGGGTGGGCAGCGCACTTGTCACCATGGCATGTGCCACCAGACAAAGCTGCGGCGCCTCAGCTCACAAGCGTTATCTTCTAATGTTTTGCAAAGAATGTGTAGGTTCTGTACTTAACTTTAATGTCAACTGGAGTATGTCCCTTTTTGACCGTAGCAGGAAGTCTCGCTTTTCTTCCTGGGCCTTGCTCGTTTGCCTGCCATTGGCATTGCCAGCTCACCTGTGGTAGTCGCAGCTGGCAGTCTGCTGCCTTTACTGGTGGTTCTGCTACGAGCAACTGCAGAGCCGATGCCGCCGGCAAGCATTTTGGCGGAAATCACCGGGCTCGTCGCGAACGTGTGTGTATCGGTGTCCGTGCAGTTTCTTCTGAACTACCGCATTGAGCGCAGTATGCAGTACAAGAAGATGGCAAGCGATTTCAATGCCGCGTCCTCACTGTTGCATCTGACTTGCGATTCGGTGGTCGAGCTAGATGCAGATCTCCGCATGGCGGAGCACACACCGTCGCTTTCGGCGATGCTGCTCCACAACAGACCCGGTGCAACCTTAGCCGGCATGGAATTCGCCGACCTCCTGGCCGGGGCAGCAGAGGCCGCACGTGTTGTGGAGATCCTAAGGCGCTTCGAAGATTGCCCGCCAGACAGTGTCAACGCTCAAGCCTTCCATACACATTTGGTTGACAGTGACTCCAACCGGTTCCGGACAGAAGTTTTTCAGGTGATGTATCATACACCACAAGGCAACGCCCGTCACCTCATTGGTCTCCGGGACGTTACGGACCAAGAGTCCTTGTCAGGCAGCAGGGCCATTGAGAGCTTGTCCGTGGTTCCGCGATCTGTGACCCCTGGGTCTGCCGGGGCCTGCAGCTCCATTGGAGCCTCAGAACACGTGCAGACATGCGCCATCGCCCACGACAAGTTTCTGTCGCTCCTGATCGACATGGACCTCCAGCTAACCCACCTGTCGTCCCAGCCCATCTGCCTTGGTTGCCGTCCGAGCGACCTCTTCTCTGCGGCGGGTGTGGAGCTCCTGGAACGCCTTTGGGCAGTACAGACCGCACCGAATGCAGCGACGGCGCAGAACCGTGGCTCCGGACTGCCGAATTATTCCTTCTCGGCGCTGGAGCTGCGGCTGGGGCACGAGCCTTTCGACGTGAGTGGCACCCTCCAGGTGGTGGAAACGCAAACCGGCGACCGCTACTTGCTGCTGGTCTGCGTGATGCCCCTGGCCCTGACAATTGCTCCCAAAGGGAGCCTCGGTTCACCCGGCTCGGACGAGTACACGACCGTGCAGTTCTAAGAGAAGCTGCTTGAGACTCACAGCTTGGTTTTCGTTGAGGACGAGCTGCTAAGCGTGTTCTGTTGGGATGCAGGCAAACCTGCGGATTGTGCTAATCTAGCTCCGGCTGTGACGTCTTGCCTACCCCCCCACAAAGACCTGAAGCGTCACTAGCAATCTGGGCCCTGCTTCGGCCTTCATCACCCGCAGTGGAGCTTGAGGGGTCCTGACTGCAACTCCCTTTAAAGGGCAAGAAGCCTCCAGTGGGCCTAGAGCCTCAAAGCAGTACACTTTTCCAGGCCGAAGAGGTTTCGGGCTTGAAGCAGCCATAAAGCCCAAGCACTCTAAGGCCTCTAAGCTCCCTCAACACCCCCTTAAACCCCCGGAACACTCTAGCCTATAACCCCTCTCCGACCGGCATCTGAACCCTGAGTCTTGTAGGCTGCAAAGCAAAGGGTCACAGCAGGAGAAAGCAAAGGTGCAGGCGCGGATTTCGCGGTGGGATTCAGGGTTTGAGGGTTGAGGGTTTCAGGGATATTGTTCGTCGATACTACCTGGTTACTACCCATTTATTGAAAAAGCTATTTCTGAATTCATGTATTCATGTCTTTGTATATTTATGTACATGTGCACGTTTTTTTCTCTTGTTTTCATGATTACTTTTGTTGGATGCTTAGGGACGTTTTCGGGTTTGGGGTCAGTTCGCCCCAGAAGCTTGACCTGTGGGTCTTTGAGGTTTAGGGTTTAGGGTTGTGGAGCTGAGAGGGTTCTAAAGGGTGCCCGATCTAGACCTTAAGCTGAGAAGGGTGGTGTTAGCTTGTTTTGCTAAATTACTTCTGTGTTGTTTTTTCATTTCGGGTTTTGGGGTCTTCGGGTTTAGGGTTCAGGAATTCGGTGTGAGGGTCTTGGGGTTGAGGGTTAGGGGCTTTCGGGGCGAGTGTGGAAGGATTGCGAGCATACCGGTAGCTTCTTAAACCCTAAACCGCACCCTAAACCCTAAACCCTAAACCCTAAACCCTAAACCCTAAACCCTAAACCCTAAACCCTAAACCCTAAACCCTAAACCCTAAACCCTAAACCCTAAACCCCAAGAGAATCTTGAACAACAAGAGCAACCAATAACCTGAACCCAAGATAGCCAAGAGCCGGATCCCTCCAACTTCTAAATCCCAAATCCTGCGTCTTTTATCCTGAAAACTTCAAAAGACCTTAAGCCCCCAACCCCTTAAACCTATCCTAAGCCCCTAGGTCCTAAACCCCTAAATCTTAAGCCCCGAAACCCAAAGCTCCCAAACCCCCGACCTCGCCTGAAACCCTAAACGCCTGAACCCTGAACCCCTAGCCCCTAACCAAACAAAAAGCAGAACTTGTAGACGATGACGTCGACCATCACGAAGACGGGCGAAGCCACCCTAACCCTTCCGTGAAACCCGAAGCGCCTAAACCCGAAGCCCCTATGCCCGAAGCTACTAAACCTTAGCCCTGAATGGGGGTTTCCGAAATTCGGGTCCTGATTGCAAGGGAACCCTACGATTTGTGGGGGCCTATGAGGGTGCGTCCCTTATTCTCGTAAACCCCCCCAAATTCCCTTCTTTTCGGCAGTTGCCTGCACAAGCGCTGCCCGATCTTCAGGAGAGCTTCGGGTTTGGGGGGGGGGGGGGGGGGGGGGTCGACTCCCAGGTTCCCGGCTCTTTGGGGGATCTTAGGCTTTGGGAGTGTTGGGCCTCAGGGTTTCGGAGTTTCGGGGGGCGCTGGTCGTACTTGAACCCGAGACATGGACCGAAGAAGCTGATGCTAGCAAGCCCTTGCAGAGTGATGAGAGCTGCAGTCGTGATAGTGGTGGTTTCTCTGATTCGACTTGCATAGGACGACAAGCAACAGCATTCAACAGCCACAGCTGCTTACGGCTCTTGCTTCTGTCTTGCCTTTTGGACCAGGCACGGGAGGCTCGGCGTGAACAGTCGACAGTGTCGCTGCTTGGACGAATACTTCAGTCGCGTCGTGCACGTCGCTGTCGTCGCCGTCGTGGTTGGTGGTTGTTGCTGCTGCACTGCTGCTGTCCAGCAACAGAGTTCTGTCTCATGGAGTGTCATGATGTAGCTTAAGTAATATCGGGGAGGGGGGGGTCCTAAACCCTAAACTCTAAACCCTAAACCCTCAACCTTAAACTAAGCCCTTACACCCTAAACCCCGCTTTCATGCTTTTGCGTACGACTGAGGGTTGAGGGTGCTGGCGGCTCAGGCTCCCTTCGGGCCTCCAGGGCCTTCCAGGGTTTGTTTCCTTCCCCATTTAGGGTTTTGTAATGTTAAAAAACCCATTTAGGGTCTTTAGGGTTTAGGGTTTAGGGTTTAGGGTTTAGGGTTTAGGGTTTAGGGTGTCTCGCCGCGCAGCGGCATGTGTAAATGGCGCCCCTACACACCCAGGGGGTGTGGGGGGGCGGCATGTCACGCGAAGGCATCTGTTTTCAATGTAACCAACAATTTCATTGGTGCTGGGTTCTTTCTCCCCACCCGCTGTGAGCTTTCACAGGCCACCACCCAAACCACCACCTTTTAGGGTTTAGGGCTGTCGCCCTCAATTCCCACCATGAAAACGATTCAAATCTCGATGAAGCCAAACATTTTTGTGCAGACAAAGGAAGCCCGGAAAGGGCCAGGGGGGGGGCCACGGAGGGCCAGGGGGCCCAGGGATTAGGGGGTCCAGGGGTAGGGGCGCCCGGAAGAGGCGCCTGGGGCATTGGGGGGCAGGTGGCCAGGGGCCAGGGGGCGACGACCCCACCACCACCAGAGGGTCCCGGGAAGGTTCCTAGGGGGGCTCCCTGGGCGGCGACGTTCTAGGGCTTGAAACCGTGGGTTTAGGGTATTCCCATCAAGGGGAGTATCTGAGTACTCCTGTGCTGGGTGGCCCACGACAGCTGGCCATAGGCGAGGCGAGGTTTAGGGGCTCTCTATTCGACCCTCTCCAATGGCTCCACCCATCGTCCATGCAGTGCCGGGTGTCTTCTGGGTCCAGGACCCTTGTAAAGGGTGGGTACGGCCTAAGCAGGCCGGGTGGGAATTTAGGGTTTAGGGTTCGTTAAAACACCCTAGTGGGTCGAAGCCTCAGGCTTAGGGCGGGAGGGCTCCAGAGCTTCTGAGCTTTTGCTGAGTTTTTTTGGGGGCCCTGGTTTTTGGAAACGTCAATCTGCACACTCCGCATTCAGACACGGTTGCTGCGAGCCCATATCCCATAAGGGTACAGAAAGGTTACCCCTGCATCCCAGACCCCAAGCCTTTAGCATCCCTAAAAAACCCTAAACCCTAAACCCTAAACCCCAAACCTAAACCCGAAACCCGAAACCCGAAACCCGAAACCCGAAACCCGAAAAAAACCCTAAACCCTAAACCCTAAACCCTAAAACCCTAAACCCTAAACCCTAAACCCTAAACCCTAAACCCTAAACCCTAAACCCTAAACCCTAAACCCTAAACCCTAAACCCTAAACCCTAAACCCTAAACCCTACCCCCCGAAGTCGAGGGTTCGGGGTCTCGGGGTTTTAGTTTCAGGTGGGGGCCCCTGAAGCATGGTTCGGCTCCCAGGCTGTCCACCTCCCTCGCATCGCCAGGCCTGGCACTCAAGAGCTTCTGCGAGGGTGGGGTTTAGGGTATAGGGTCTTTGGGGTGTAGGGTTTTAGGGTTTAGGGTTTAGCGTCTAGGGTTTGGGAATCAGGCTTTAGGGTTTGCAGGTTTCGGGTTCAAGGTTTTTGGGCTTTGGGGTTGGAGAGGTGGTTCAAGCACTAAACCCTAAATCCTAAACCCTAAATCCTAAACCTTATTTCCTAAGCCCTAAACCCTAGAAAGGGCCTTGAGGCTTGAGGCGGGCTTGGGATTTCGTAGGTTTGGGACTCTTCCAGGCTTGAGGCAACAGGGAGAACTGAAAGGCCTAGCTGAAAGAACAATCCTGAGCTAACTGGTTCTTGCAGTAGGGAATTCGGGAATTCGGTTCCCGAGTCAAGCAGAGAAGCTAAGAGCTTTGCACCCCAAAGACGCAGCTGGGAGGCAAGCCTGCGATAGCCTCCCAGGCCTGGGCATTGCCCTTGGTGGGCAGGTGTTGGATCCTTGTGTAGGGCTTAGGGCTTCGTGTTTTACAGGGGTCCGGCCCTCAACCCAAACCCAAAGCCCTGATTGAGCTTTCTGACGCGCTTTTCTTTCCTTCAAACGCCTAAGCCTCTCGCCCAAGAGCGAAGGCAGGTGAAGTTGGGTTGAGGGTTGAGGGGTTTTGCGGGCTTTGGGCTTTGGAGGTTGGTGCTTTGGGGCTTTGGGGCCATGGCTTTGGGAATTTGGGGGGGTTTGAGGGATAAACGTTCCGGGCCCTGTGGGTAATCCAGACGAGACCCCCCAAATCTGGGGTCCCCACAAGAAGCCCGAATCCCTGGGCCCAGTAGACTGTCCAATAGACCCTTGAATCTTCGGCCAATGATCGGTTGACGACCTCAGCAGTAGGGTTTAGGCTTGAGTGCAGGGTGGAGGGTCTAGGGTTTCAGAAACTGGACCCCCTCCCTGTGTTGAGGGTTTAGGGTTTGGGGTTTAGGCTTTCGGGTTTAGGGTTTAGGGCTTAGGGCGTAGGGCCTCGGGTCGAGACATTCCAGAATCCTTGTGGCACTCTGGAGGAGCGCCGCGCGCCCTCGAAGGCGCCTGCCTGCGGAAGCCCGTGGTCTTGGTGCTTCGGGAGCTTTAAAACCAGGGTTTTCCGGGTTTCGAGCTGGCTTTATTGAAGCTACCATCATGTGGATGTACATATATATTATAATATAGTATCATAATATATATATATATATATACATGCAATATAATACTTTTTGATATAATATAATATAACATTTTAATATAATATAATATAGTTTAGTATAATCAATAACATCAGACAACATAATATCATATAATACAATATAATATAATATAAAAATGTAATATAATATAATATAATATAATATAATATAATCTAATATAATATAGTAGAATATAACATATAACATAAATA